GAATCGCTCCGAAGGGCAGCAGAGACTAAGGGTTTCAATCGCCTCTCTTTTCCCCATACTGGCCAATGATGAGGGTGGCTAAATAAATGGCAAGTTTGTGCCCCCAAGGAAAGTGTCTAAATCAAGGGTCGCCATGAGCCTCTGAGGTGAGCAGTACGCCAGAAAGCGCAGGCCCCACCAAGGCAGAGAAGGAGCTTTGCCATGCTTTCCTGCAGCATTCCCTGTGAGCTGAGCACTTGAGTGGCCACCCTGAACAGATTCAGATGCTACCCATTTAATGAGCAGAGCACCCTCTGCGCCCACAGATGGCAGCATGTGTTTTTACTGGTGGTGCACATCTGCACATACTTTGGTGCACATAACAAAATGTATTCTGCATATGGATGGGAAAAATTAGAGGGAACCTTGGCAGTCAGTTATGTTACAGGACCTGGAATAATAACGCTAGCATTTGAATAACATTTTCCAGTACACGCAGGAGAAAGGAAAGCAAATGTGATTACAGTTGTAAATACTGTACACCAGCTGACTGAGCGTATCATACCAGGGCTGAAAACAGAGCTGTGGGGACGTTCGTGCCAAGGTGATTATTAATTTTGAATTTTCTATCTTGAGACGATATTCCAGTTCTGTTTGGGTGTTACTTCTGTACAAATTAGTCATAATAACATCTTTCTCCCCTTTCTCTCTCTCTGGCTATGTCTAGACTCCAGGCTTTTTGTGCAAGAAGCTTTTGTCGGAAGAGATCTTCCGCAAAAACTTCTTGCGCAAGAGCGCGTCCACACTGCAAAAGCGCATTGAAAAAGCGATGCACTTTTGCGAAAGAGAGTGTCCAGACTGCATGGACGCTCTCTCAAAAGTAAGCTCTGATTGGTATGCACAAAATAGCCACCAGAGCACCTGTGCTTTTTTCCTCTTTCCTCCTTTTGCGCAACCCCCCCTTCCGTGTCCACACACGCCTTTTTGCAAAAGAACTCTTTCGCAAAAAGGCATTCTTTCTCGTAGAAAGAAAAATACCAATTGTGTAAAAACCCCTCTGTTCTTTCAATTCTCTTGCACAAAAACGTGCTTGAGCTGTAGACGCTCTGTGAGTTTTTGCAGAAAACCTGCTGTTTTTCCTAAGAAAACATAGCCTAAGAATGTATGTGTATCTGTGTCTGCATGCATTATGTGCATGTACATATATATGTATATATTCATACAAATACATCTCTTTAAAATTATATATTGACTGGAAAGAGAAAACTGATGTTGATTTTATGTAGCACTTTACTGAGACATGCCATGAGAAAGGAGCTTTCTGTGTTAAACTTTTGGATTCTAAACGCTAACGCCTATAGGGTCTGATTCTTCATGCACCCTCTGAATTGAGCCAGTACCAATATCAGTGCATGGTTTATTTAGATGCAGCTCTTACATCTTTAGATTCGTGCCAGTAGTGCACATTCTCTTGATTGCTGCTTGCTGGAGTTCTTAATTGTACATAGGGTGGAAAAATAAGAATCACATTGCAGGAAATGTCACTTAACATGTTTCCCTTTTGTCCCATCAACATTGTCACAAAAACAGAGATTGGAAAATCAATGAAAGTTTGGGCAATGTTGAGGAGCTGGGTCAGGTCTCATTTTCCATGTCTGCTTATCATCTTGATGATTTCACTGTGGTTTCTTCCTTTCCTGGCTTGCGATTGCTGATTTCAGCAGTGTGCTAGTGAGGCCCCAGTAAAGAGGGCTGCTAGCATCCCTTGAAATGCCATGCATTTGCCAATCAATTGCCCTGTTTAAAGACAAATCAATGACTTTGTTTGCTAATAGTCAGAGCCTTCTTCCTGAGTCGGAGACAAAAGATGGAGTCAGGGATCACTCATTATTTCCCATTGCATCTGGGGCGCTGCCTTGTTTACAGCTCTAGACAGCGCTGAACGGCAACACGTCCCTATCGCGTTTGACAATTGACCAGGAAGATTTGCATGATTGAAAGGGACAGTTGCTGAGGCTGAGCTGGCACAAGCCCCACTGGAGGGACCAGGCTGTGTACCTTGACAGGCTTCTGACGGCAGGTGCATGGAGCCGCGTGAAGCTCTCCTGGGCCTAGCCAAGACTGAGGGATGCTTCTATCCAGAGTGAAGGCAGAGGCAGTTTCCCAGGAGAGG